ACTCTAGTTAAGTTAAGATAACTATAGTCAAAGTCCCTTATTGGTGGTGTTTGGAATGTGTAGCTTAATTATAATAATTACCTAATACTTAACCAAACATGAGACTATGTAAACAAATATTATAATGAAAAGAAATATAGTTGATTTCAATAATATTTCAAAAGATATTCCAGGACAGGATGTGGACGCACTAATACAATACTACAAATATTATCACAAAAAAACATTGGTGAGTTAAAAAATGTTACAAATATTACAACAAAATACTTCGAATAACATCATATCTGCCGTTGTTTTTAACTAGTTCTAGAATAATTTCAAGTGGGGTATTATCAAATTTATTTTGTTAATCATATCTGGTATTGGTGTTTCTCTCACAACAGCGTGTAAAAAAGTAGAACCAAGACGTTTAATAAAAAGCATGGATGTCAAACAGCTGTTATTACTTACAAAAAACTACTTGATCAGATTCGATCTTACCTACGAGGTGTAAAATATGATATGGACAACTTAATACGTGAATTTCGCATTACTGACAGTATGTTAACAGATATTTTACCAATGATGGTTAGCAGATATGAAAAAGATTATCAAAAGAAGTATGAATAATGTAAAATATTATCTAAACTTAAGATATAATATCACTCACCTTTCTCGCTTTGTGAATATCCGCTTGAACGCTATCACACAATGATTATAATAAAAGCCTAGCTTCACGTTAAAAATACCACAAATGCGTAGTTTAATTTCCGCCTGTGATCTCTTGTACAGCTGTTACCTGGTCAAACTTCTAAGGCATGCTGATTTATAAAGCGCGACTTGCCTTTTATATGCTTTCTTCAGTCTCGTTCGAGAACATTCCACGCATACGCCTGTTCTGACTACATAATCACGCGATCGCTGTATGACTCATGCAATAGTCATGCTTGTTACTAAAGATAGAGAGCTACCAGTGTACACAATGATGATTCACGACCGACCTGTATGTAATGACAGAGAGGGGGGATAATTTATATCTTGGGCTAGGAGCCCTACTATCCTTTTGAGAAAGGGGGGTGGGGGTTTAAAGGGGTGGGTAATGTATACTTGTTTTAATAATGAAAAGGATGGGTGGGTTAGGAACCTTAGTATCCTTTTGAGAAAAGGGGTGGGTTGGTGAGAGTTTAGGACAAATAAGGGATGGGTTGGGGGTAATTTGTATTTGTTCTGATAGTAAAAAGGGGTGGAAGTAAGGTTTGGATTGAAACTCTTGCAAATATGAAAAAATGTAAAATATTATCTAAACTTAAGATATAATATCACTTACCTTTCTCGCTTTGTGAATATCCGCTTGAACGCTATCACACAATGAGTATAGAATCCGAGCTTCACGTTAAAAATACCACAAATGCGTAGTTTAATTTCCGCCTGTGATCTCTCTTACAGCATGTTACCTGGTCAAAATTCTACGGCAGACTGCTTGACTGATAGTTTACCTGGTACAATGATTGGCTAAAAACAGTTACCTTGACTCGTATGACGATAGAGCATTACACAATGGTATTTCCTTCTAATCACGCTGTACAAACAGTTACCTTGACTCGAATGACGACAGAGCATTACACAAGGGTATTTCCTTCTAATCACGCTGTACAAACAGTTACCTTGACTCGAATGACGACAGAGCATTACACAAGGGTATTTCCTTCTAATCACGCTGTACAAACAGTTACCTTGACTTGAATGACGACAGAGCATTACACAAGGGTATTTCCTTCTAATCACGCTGTACAAACAGTTACCTTGACTCGTAGGACGATAGAGCATTAAACTATGGTATTTCCTTCTAATCATCCAGTACAATGATTGGCTAAGAAAAAGTTACCTTGATTCGTATGACGATAGAGCATTACACTATGATGACTTACCTGGCTTCGACAACCTTACCTTATTAACGTGGTAGTGGTGGGTGGGTGGTAAATTGTATATTTGTTTGGATGGTTAAAGTATGGTTGAATTTAAACTCTTACTTTCTTCTACTACTGGGCCGCCCAAGGAACATTAAATTATTTCCATTTTTTTTACTGCCGTTTATTTCTCTCGGATTTGTTCGACTTGCCATGGACGAGAGGTTAACCAGGAGCTGAGAGACGTCACCTAAAGCCGCACCAATACCATGCATGCGCAAAATATCGTGATATCGAGGCGGTTTTAGGTCACGTCTGGAGATGAGCGGCTTTGGTGGAGAGAAAGTGTTTATCACTCTTCTCACTTCACCGGTTCTTGTTTGAGAATGCTTGGTGTACGTGTATATTGTGTTTGTTCAAATTTAGCCCGCAAATTAGCAAGAATGAGCACAAAGCAGACGTCATTAGAAAGTTTCCTTGGGAAAATTAAAAGACCCAGTGAAGAGACATAAGAAGAGCCTTCAACATCAAAGAAACATAAAACTTTTAACAAACAATTCCATGAGTCCTACTTGAAATATGGATTTATCGGGACAGGTGATTCCCACACACCAGCCATGCTCTGCGTAGTTTGCGGCGACCAGCTCTCTAATGAAGCAATGAAACCTTAAAAACTGCTTCGCCATTTGAACGTCAAACAACCTGGATTAAAAGACAAGTCCCTGGCTTTTTTTTTAAAGAAAAAAATACGGGAACATAAAGGACAGAGTAAATATTTGAGGGCCACCACATCAATAAAGGAGAATGCACTGAGAGCTGCATATATGATGGCTAACCGCATTGCTAAGGCTAGAAAGCCATTCACTATCAGTGAAGAATTGATCCTGCCCTCCACTAAAGATATTTGCCGTGAACTTCTAGGAGAGGCTGCTGTGGAAAAGATAGCACATGTGCCTTTGTCGGCTAGCACTGACATTAGGTGCATTGAGGAAATAGCCGAAGATACTGAGACAATTGTTGGAGAGGATAATTACATCACCGTGGTACGCACTCCAGGTTGACGAATCTACAGATATCGACAACAAGGCAATACTACTTGTTTATATGCAATATCTGTATCAGGAGGATGTGTATGAGGATTTGTTATGTGTTCTATCTTTGCAATCCAACACCGCAGGAGCAGAACTGTTCATTTCACTGGATGGTTATATGAGGACAAATAAAATGGTCCTTTTGATTCGGCATATGCACAGACAGAGCTGCTGCTATGACTGAAAGACTGTCTGGTTTAACTGCTCGGATTAGAGAAGCTGTACATGAGATTGAATCGATGCATTGTATCATTCACAGGAAAAATGCTGGCAAGCCGAAAAATGTCACTGGAATTTAACAGCGTATTGATTGAGTCGTTAAAGTTATTAACCACATCAAAGCACACGTCCTTAACTTAAGTCTGTTTCAGTAGCTTTGTGAGGATATGGACGCAGAGCACAGATGCTTTCTCTTGTACAAAAAAAGATGGTTATCCAGAGGAAATAATTAAGCAGAGTATTTTAATTACGAGATCCATTGCAAAAATGTCTCTCAGAAAAGAAGTCAACTCTGGCAGCACATTTCAGTGACAAGGTATGGGTCTCAAAACTAACTCACCTGTGTGACATATTCAGCCTACTCAATGAACTCAATCTGTCCCTTCAGGGGAAAGTGACAACCTTTTTTCCATTTCGGCATACAAAGTAGCTGCATTTAAAGCCAAATTGGATTTGTGGGGACGGCGCGTGAACAGAGGCACTTTGGACATGTTTCAGACATTAGCATGGATTTTAGGTGAGACTGAGTCTGAGCATTCATTTCTCAGTTGGTGTACGATCACCTGTCTTTGCTTTTAAGAGTTCGAGCGCTATTTCCCAACCATAACAGACCCATGAACTGATAAGGAAAGGATCCGCGACGCATTTGTAAAAAAACCAGGCGAATCTAGCATGTATGTGCAAAAAGAAGATCAACTGCTGAAGATTGCATATGACGGCGGCCTTAAAACTATGTTCGAGACAACAACTCTGCCGGTGTTCTGGATTAAAGTCATGGCGGAATACTCTGAGATTGCCACTACCGCACTTAAATCCCTATTGCCATTTCCGACATCCTATCTGTGTGAAGCGGGTTTTCTGCAGTGACAGCAACCAAACTAAAACAACGGAATAAACTGGACATAAGCAACACACATTGTCTCCTATTACCCCCAGATGGAACCGTCTCGTTGCAATGAAACAAGTTAGGGGTTCTTGTTGATATAGCGTTCTAGTGAGTTAAAATGTTTAATCACTTTATATTCATTTTTTGGTTTAACTGTATTTTATTTTAAAGGCATGTTTGAATATAATTAAATTAAATTTATTAAATCAAAACAATCTAAAATATAAACAAAGTCCCCCCCCCTCAGCGGGCCGTTGTAATATTATCAAACGTTGACCGGTCCGCGGCGATATAAAGGTTGGGGACAACTGCTCTATGGCATTCTATGTTATTGTATAAAGTATCGACGAATCTTGGTTAGCGATAATCAGGCTATCTACAACGTATTCTATCGCAGTTAAGATGCTAATGAAAAAAACTTCGATCTACATAAAAGTGAATGGTTTGTTGAATAAATACTCTGATCTGATGCTAGAAAGAAAATCAACTGGAATTATAATTACTTCATGTAAACTTTGAGTGATTAACTAAACTTTACACATCGATAAATATCAAACCACGATCATTTAATCATATATATATATATATATATATATATATATATATATATATATATATATATATATATATATATATATATATATATGTGTGTGTGTGTGTGTGTGCGTGTGTGTGTGCGTTCACCTATGAATGATAAACGTCCTAGAATAATACCTCATATTTCTTTTTGTAAATAATTTTGAGTTCATATTGATTGCAATAAATATAATAAAGATTACACTCTGCACGTTCACAAAATACTATTATTGTTTTCAATATTATTATTTTACATCTGACCTAATATTTCTGTGCTGACTGTAATATATATCACATAGTTAAAATCTGAGCTATAAGAAACATCACTTAGACAGTTAAACCGCTCCGGTGGCCTAGTGGTTAAAGCGTCAGCCTCGGATGCGGTAAGTCGTGGGTTCGATCACCGTTCGATTCAAACCAAAGACTTATAAAAATGATACAAACAGTTGCCTCGCTTATCGCTCAGCATTGAAAGGTTAGTGTTAGGAATGGTCGGCCTGGTATCAGGGTAATGTGACTAGGTGATGTAGTGCTAGCCCAGTGCTAAATATCAATATAAACTGCCACACTGCAGATATCGTAGCGATATGACTGAAACATTATTCAAGCTACGTTAAAATAATCATAATCACGTCACATCACATAGACATTTCCGTGGGAAAATTAAAGACCTGAATGACTAAATTGAACAGAAAGGGTAAATGTACGACATATCCGTATTTTTGACACTCCAAAACTACCAATTATTTATGGAGATTGCCAAATAATTTTTCATCTAAAGAGGCGATTTTTAAGTCTAGTTAAGCATTTGTATGGTGTGCATACGTACAAATGCGTTTAAAGACTATAATGATATCACATTTGTACCATATATGTCGCTAATGACCGTTAACTAACTTGATGCTGTATCAGAACACCACTAGTGCAGATTGGAAGATAACTTGGCATAAAATAAAATGTAGAGCCTATTATTATTATTATTATTATTATTATTATTATTATTATTATTATTATTATTATTATTATTATTATTATTATTATTATTATTATTATTATTATTTTATTATTATTATTATTATTATTATTATTAGTAGTAGTAGTAGTAGTAGTAGTAGTAGTAGTAGTAGTAGTAGTAGTAGTAGTAGTAGTATAGGTAGTAGTAGTAGTAGTAGTATATAATTTGTATATAAGTAGTTAATATGCAAACACTAATATGCATAATTAATATGCAAAATTAATAGGCAGAAGGCAAAATACTGCTTGTCTTGTATAAGCGTCTTCTTCTAATTGTACAGCTAAGGACTCTATTTAGATACACAGCTAGCTGAGCGAGACTTTCTCCAATTTATCCAGGGATTACTATATATCATTATCTTTGCAACACGTGTCAGGGGATACAGTTTTGCTAATTGGAATATCTTGGATGGGAAACGGAGACTTTACATCAATAAACCTATCACAAGGAAGATACAATGTTTCAGATGTGCTGTACTTTTTATTACTTTACAAAATGCTTTTTTTTCTGTCATGAAATTTTTCAATTTTTTGTAGTGGAACTGGGTACAAACTAATCAAAAGAGTGAATTTCACCTAAGGGATGTGTCAGGTGTCATATAAACTGGACTGGTTGTAGATTAAGATAGAAAAAAAAAACATTACAGTATGTTGATGAAGAGTCCCATGGATCGATACTGTAACACTTCCGTGTGTTATATCGAAAAGACCAGAGTTAAGGACTTAAATGATCTTTATAAGTGTGAGCTAGAACATGTCCTTCAATATCGTTTAATATATATATATATATATATATATATATATATATATATATATATATATATATATATATATATATATATATATATATATATATATATATATATATATATATTACTTCAACACAGTGTTCATCACAACACTATAAGCTTCTTGGCAATATAGAGCAGATTTGCTCTTTGGATGCTCAAAAACACAATGCTGTAATACACCATTTTAAGGTGAAATTATTTCTTCGAGTGAATACCTGTGCATAACAACAGATAATAATTTACGCTGACTGAAACACATTCGGACACAGTAGCGCGATCTCTCAATTTAAAAAAAATAATTCTAGTTTATTTTGAGTGAGGTGGGAGATGGCAACTGCTTAATAAAAATTACTTAATATTAATTATAATGCGTTTAAATTCAATGGCAATCATTCTATAAATCTACTTAAACTTTCTCATGACAATTTGATTTCGTTTTGGAGTTTTATAGTGTTTAAGTTAGTTTGGTTACCTAAAAATAATTGATGGTTTTCGATTGGACAGTTTTTTATATAGCCGAAATTCTTTTCTAATTGGATGTTCAGACTTTGCCGCTCCGACAGTTATCTGGAATTACAGTGTCTGCACTCATATTTATCGATGCATATTCACATCACATGACCTTAGTTAGCCAATCAAAACTTGTCCTTCTAAGGGATAGTCATGGCGGTAACCAAATGAACTGTTGAAACTACATGCGCAAATGCCTCTGAACACAGAACTCAGACAAAATTAAGATGTCCTCTGAATGTCCATGGTGTTTTACTTTTAGTCTTATTTGTACATTCATAGTAAAAAAGGTAAGATAATTTATTTCCGAAACAATTGATTATAAATTCCAGCAACACACACAAACACACACAGACACACACGGTCCAAATTGAAAATGGATAGGGTATAATAACCACTGACATGCGAACTTCTTTCTAATTAATGTTGGTCTCCCAGGGCTTGTAGAGTTTTTTCCATTAGGCGAATTCCTTGACGAATTCATCGATTCTCATGAACACAGTGTTACATTACCACGGTTTTATACTTACACTTAGACTTAGTATATAACACAGAGCACAAATAAATAAGAAAAAGCAAACGGCGATCTTAACGATGGTGGACGGTGGCGTACATTCAGGATTGGAAGAAGCAATTCACACATGATAGTTGTTTTCCTTGACAGATAAACTGAGGTGATCAAGCATGACACAGTCTCGTAGTCCAAACATCATCTCACGCTCCAACATTTAACATCAAATAAACTTTGACACCTCGACTGGACAATGTTTGCGCATGCAAATCTCCATTCATAATACCGTAAAGCTGTTACAGTATAGTGACCCACGTCATATTTTTTAATTTATTTCGTGTTTTTTTTATTATTATCATAACTATTATTATAGGAAAGAGAATGTAGTTTTTAATAGTTCCTAGTATTTTGGTTTGCTGAGTTAAGTATTGCAATACTTTTGGAACTTGTCTTGAAATAATTTGCGGATAGGTTGATAAAAGTATGTTTGAAACAGCTCCTTAGTGTACTTAAAATACATAAATTTGAACTCGTATGCATTTAGAAGAATAAGTTGACCAATCTGGTAGCTCCTTGTGTTATAGAGCAAAGAATTGAGGCAATATCTGCATCGATAAGCAGGAGATATGAGGTCATTATATTTTTTTCTGCCATAATTTCGAAAACTTTGTTTTGAACATGAGATAATTTGACAATTTCTTTTAAAAATACTTCCAATGTCATTTGCATTTGATATCAAAATATAGCTAAAAAAAATTCTTAACAATATTTATATTGCAGATAAAAAGACCTTTAGTAGCGTAAAACGAAACTGGATGGATGCAAAAAACCTGGGAAATTCTAAAGCATTACTCAAAGAATAAAGTCAATAATCTTCAAACAATGTAAGATGTAATGACTTTCGTTGTTTCTTAGTATTGGCCTAATGTTCGGTAAGATTCGATTCATAAGGGCAAATAAATTAGGATGATTTTAGAGAATCACCAACTGAACAAGATAACTTCTCTGACGAGTGAAACTCTGGTCACTTATAAAATACACAGAAGGCGTTCCTGAACACGAAGCTCGATTCATTTTAATTAATTGCTTGATAAAAACTGAAGTCTGGATTTCACTCACATGCTACACAAAATATTAGGGCCGAATCCACACTTTCATAATTCCGTCATTAGTAACAACTAAAACATTAGAAACAAAACAATTATATATATATATATATATATATATATATATATATATATATATATATATATATATATATATATATATATATATATATATATATATATATATATATATATTTTCACTTTGTTCATCTTCAAATGTTATTTACTTTGTAATCATCGCTTAGGATAATTTGACATTATTGGTAAATAAAATGCTTTTGACCTATTATCATACTACTGTCTAGAGAATTTCAAGTCAAAACAGAGACAAACCAAATGATTTCCTCTTAGGAATCAATGCTCCGATCCATATATTAAATCATAAATTAGTAAAATTATCAAGCTCATATCTTATTTGAATTCAAGTTTGCTGTTTTATGAACAGCCTCATCACCTACACTAATTTGACTAATTTCAAATATTTCCTCTATAAAGCTAATTAAGTAGCCCATGTTAAAAAGTTTTTCTATAATTTAAAAATTTGGACGATTTAAGGGTAACCATAAACTTGTATGGATCAAGTTTTATATTGATCTGAAGTCATTTGAAGCAAAAATCGTTGATGAAACAGTTTGTCTAATCTTTAAGGTTTTTATATTAAACATTGCTAAATTAGTCATCAAAATTTTACTAATATCATTTTGTATAAAAGACCTAATTTTTTTAAAAGTATTATTTTTATATACAAATATTTTCTTCGTATTTTTCCTTGTAGAGGACAAGCAGTAATAAAATAAAATTCATTTCCGTTACAAATTTGACACAATCTTTCCTCACTGCAAATACTGACATATCTTCCCGTATTACCTCTGATTGGCAAGTTCCCCACCCTAAGCGTAGTGATTATATAACAAAGATATTTATCTCTCGAGAATTTGAGATATCTTTGACAAGTACATTCTACTCCCAATAACCTATAGAAGCAGTCTTTCCATCAACGTAATCTCATCCTGCATCTTTTGCCTGAAAATATCTTCCCATATCTGGCTGAAAAAGAAATGTATTTTCATAATTTACCTCCTGAATGCAACAAACATGGCCAAATCCAAATGTAAATATAAACTTTTTAACATTGTTAGCATAGCAATCGCAATTATCCCCCCTACCTAAACTTTAAATAGAAACATTGTTTAATATTTCTCTCTTCCGGCATTTTTTGAATTCTTACCCAATATTTCAAAATACGTTTATATCTAATACACTGCATAATAATTCTTCCTAATTCATTATATAGAAATGCATTTGGAGTAGACCTAGATGTACCAATGATATATTTACAAATTGATAAATAAGCCTTATCTATATCATTGGCATAGTTAAGGATGGGAGCTATCTTCGCGTCAGACGGACGCATCAAAATCCAGTCACGGGTAATAAACCAAAGTGATACTTATGTCTCGTGATGTAGTTTGCGTACTTAATA